GGGGGGGGGGGGGGGGGATGCAGGTCCCTGCTCCTGGGGACCTGGGGCTGCAGTTGCCATGAGAACTGCTGGTGGCACCGCGGTGACCCCCACCGGCGCCGCAGCCACCTCCCCATCCATCTCCCATTCCCGCCCCAGGAAGGACCGGACCGTTGGATGGAGATCAAGCTTGGGGAGGGGAAAACTCTGCTGAGAGCCTGGGAGGAGGGATGGGTTTGTGTAACCAAGTGATGATGGTGAGAGTCACCGGTGGTTGGCAGAGGCTGGCTCCTGTCTGGGGGTGATGCCAATGGGAGGGGATGGGATGTGGTGGGCAAGGAGAGGAGGTGGGAACACCCATGAGGAGCAAATGGCCGCTCATATGGCTCCTACACCTTCCTGGCTTGTCTTATGGAGCTCAGGTTATCCTGGGGCCAAATCCTGCCATCCTTGAGCAAATCACACTCAGTGCCTGGTCCAGGGGGGTTCTGAACTCTCAAGGGGGACCATGGAGCAGGATGGACCCTGGATGGGGCCCAAGACCCTTCCCGCTCCCGGCTGGGAGAGCTTCCCGAAGCAGCCTGCGTGTAGGATTTCTTTGGGTGGAAGAAGGAAATTGCTGAGGTCAGGGGGCTGATATTGCACATTTTTATGTGACATCAGCTTGCCGCCACCTTGAAAATACCAAAAGATAGAGTCTTACCTCCCGGCCCTTGAAAATCCCTCGTGCCCTGCAGGAAGGCAGTGTTGTTACTCCAGAAATTCACTGTTATTCCAGGGAATTTAAGCCCCTGTGCAGGAAACCCCAGTGTGGGCAGGGAGGAATTTAAAGGGATAGGACATTTGTAGGGATGTGCTCTGTTCTTACGGTGCCATTGCAAGAAGGGAGGTGGGATCCCCCTCAAGAAGCCCCTTAGAAGCCTTGAACAGGCAGAAAATAGATTTAGGTCTAATTCCAGGTGAACAGGCAGCCAAAGAAGTGGGAAATCAGGAGGGTATTTCGACGCTTTGCTGAATCAGAGCATTGTGGCCTCCTGAGAACCCACACAAGGAGGGAAGAGAGCTGGGCTGGAGGTGTGAGGTGCAGGAGCATCCTGCCCTTGGTCCCTGGGACATCCCCAGAGCACTGTCTGCACTCACCGTGGGGCACTCAGCACTAACATGTCCCTCTCTCTCTCAGAGATCTCATGCCCAGGACCCTGGAGGGACAGATCACCATGGAGAAGACCCCCAGCTACTTTGTCACCAAGGAGGCCCCAGCCCGCATCTCCTCCATGGCCAAGGGCACAAAGCTCATCGTGGTGGTGCGGGACCCCGTCACCAGAGCCATCTCGGACTACACCCAAACGCTCTCCAAGAAGCCCGATATCCCCACCTTTGAGAGCCTGACCTTCAAAAACAGGACTACGGGCCTGATCGACACCTCGTGGAGCGCCATCCAGATTGGCATCTACGCCAAGCACCTGGAGAACTGGCTCCTCTACTTCCCCATCGGGCAGATCCTCTTTGTCAGCGGGGAGAGGCTGATCAGCGACCCCGCGGGGGAGCTGGGCAGGGTCCAGGACTTTCTGGGCCTCAAGAGGATCATCACCGACAAACACTTCTACTTCAACAAAACCAAGGGGTTCCCGTGCCTGAAGAAGGCAGAAGGCAGCAGCAAACCCCACTGCCTGGGGAAGACGAAAGGCAGGACCCACCCCGACATAGACCAGGAGGTGGTGCAGAGACTGCGGGACTTCTACCGGCCCTTCAACATGAAGTTCTACCAGATGACGGGGCAGGACTTCGGCTGGGACTGAGGCTGAAAAAAATAATTTAAGAAAAGGAAAATATAATATAATATATATTTTTTTTACGTATCAGTAGAGAGGGGGAAAATACAGAAAAAAAAAATAATAGTTGTGCTGAAACATGATTGTTCTGATTTATTTTTTTTTCCCTTTGACATTGCTTTGTTTTCTTTCTTCTCTCAGAGATGAGGTGGTGTGTCCATCCAGAAAAGGAGGCTGTGCACAGCAGCCAGGTCCTCTTGACATCACCTGCAGCTCGGCTGCTTCCTTCAATGGGCCCAAGGGTTAGCACTGTCCCTGTGAAAAAAAAATAAATAAAAACATGCAGGTGCAAAGTTTTTAGATGTCCTCAGGTCCACATCCAGAAGTGACAGGGGTGCTCGGGGGAGCTCAGAGCCCTACTGAAAGGTCAGATTTTGGCTTGCAAATGCCATTTTAGACCAGACCTCATCACTTTTGACAATGAAACAGAGAAGGCATAATACCTAATTTGGCTTTCAAAACCTTACCTTAGGGGATTTTTCTTATTGCATGAAACCTTTGGTGACATTTTTTTCATTTATCCAATTTTTTGTTTTACTTCTGCTCCCCCTAAATCAAGTCCTTTTCATCAACCAAACTTATTTTTCATTTTATAGAAGCCAAAACCAATAACCCTTTGTTTTGTTTTGAGACAAAACAATTTTGGTAGCCAAAAGTGAAAGAAAACAAATGATTCTTTTGACTCCGTGATGAAAATTGCCAGGTAGTCAAAAGGGCTCATTCACAGGAGTTGGCTCTAAGCCAGTGTTCCCCCCCCCCCACTGCCAGCAACGTGCACCCCTTTTCCTATGCTGACAGGGGAGTGTGTTCCCCAGGGGGGGCCCATCTGAAGGGATTTGGGTGATGGGCAAGGAAGGTCCACACCGAGATGATGCTCATGGTACACCTGACTTGAAGGTGATGGGGGACCCACCATCCCACCACTCGTCCGCAGGAAACAAGTTCCCAGTGTCCAGCGGGTGATATTTAAGCCATAATGAAGAATGTTTTAAGTTGGGCCAGTCTTAAAAGAGTGGAGAAAGGGATGTTTCGGGAAAAAAAATGAACAAAAATCATATCCAGAAAGGGGAGAGAATGAGAAGATGATGGAAGTTTTCTTGTCCTTCCATTAAGGAGAACCGAGGGGGATGCAGGAACAAGAGCATTGGGTCTGTAGGGTTTTACAAATCGTCAGGCAAAATTGGAAGTTTTCTTGTCCTTCCATTAAGGAGAACCGAGGGGGATGTAGGAACAAGAGCATTGGGTCTGCAGGGCTTTACAAATCGTCAGGCAAAACGAATCTCCTGTTTGCAATAACCAGGAGCTTTAAATTCTTTGCTGTGATCCTTATCACCTTTTTTGGCTGGTAGAAGTGTCTCAGCAACAGAAATCTATTCGTGAAGCAGGATCTTGTATTACTGTGGGCTCATTTATCTGCTGGCTTTTATCTTCAGCATTTTCTGGACTGCAGGAGCACCTAATTATCGCTCGGTGCTGTATAAACACAACACGATGATGCTCCCTCCCCCGAATCAAACTTTAAAAAGCCCCTGATGGGGTAAAACAAACTAAGTGGGGGGGGAATCACCTGGTAATCTGGTTAGGAAAAAGCCTGGGGACCAAGTTTACTACCAGCCAAGATCTTAATAAAATCACAGCAGCGCAGAGATTTCAAGGAGTCCAAAGAGAATTGTATCTGAAATTACAATTTAACCCAAGAGGGAGTCGTTTCCACCTGGGGCTGTCCTGTTTGACAGGGCAGGAAAACAGCTTGGTACCTGCTCAGCTTCACGGCACCAAGGTCCACTGGAGGTGTTGAGCCCCATCCCCTCCTGGCTGCCCTGAGCCTCCTCCTTCCTGTCCATCCCTGCGCCATCCCTCTGTTCCCAAGGATGCAGAGTCCTGGGACCTTCCTATCCCCTGAAGACACAAACCCACATGGTTTTGCATGTAAGGCCCATTTCCCAAGGTAATTAAAATAACTTCATCAGTGTTGCAAGGCTTCAGGACCTTCTCCCACTGTTGTTGCCCCAAAGCCTTACCTGAGCTCAGGTTTCTGTTCCCCAGCTGGTGGACCAGTGGTGATGGGCTGGTGGCACCAAAGCCAGGCTGTGCTCAGCAGTCTGTCCTGGCACAGCATGGCTCAGTGCCACCCTTGCTCCCTCCACTGATGCCTTCACCCCCTTCCCACCAGTCTTGTTCCAGTGTGTCCCATTTTAAGCCCTTTTTTGGCAATGTCCTGTACCACATCTGGGTAAACACCTTCTGCAAACCCCTTCCAACAGAGAGGCCAGTGAGGGATCACACAGACCCCCAACAGCCCTTTCTCTTACCCACCTCCCTTCAGCCCCCTGTTCATGCAGAGATGACATGAGAAAATCAGAGATGGTCAAGCAGTTTTGGCTTCATGGGGTCACGGTCCCTCCCAGCATCTCTGCAACTCATTGCTGGAGTGCAAATGAGTTGGAAGAAGTTGGAAGAGTGTTGGGTTCTTGGCAATGGTCTCCTGTGTCAGCGGAGACAAGGGGAGCAATCTGCTCTCTGCCCATGCCAGCCAGATCAACGGGGAATGGGTTCAAGGTGTAGCCAAAAGGATGGGGGTTAATTACTGGGAAAATCTTTCTAACAGCAAGGCTTGTTGGGGAAGGAATGGGCGATGGCCACCATCCCTCCCACGCTGTCCTCTTCCATCTGAGTGCAAAAGCCAAGGTGGTGGCGAGGACAAGGCATCACTCAGTCATGGGCACAACCAAACAGTGCCAGCACTACCCAGGCACAAAATCTGAGGTATTCCAAGCTGAAAAGAAGATTTAAGCACGCCATTTCTCTGGTATTTCAAGGAGACCTAAGGTTGGGCTAATCTGTACATGCCTTTGACAAGTATAAATATCACTTAAGAGTATGATTTAAAAAAATCAATATAATTATATTGCTATTGTCTCTCATATGGTCACGTTTAGATTCCTATAAAGCAGCTTTATAGTGCTACAGATTGTTCTTCCCATATTGAACAGCTACAGATACCAAGCACCTTCGTACAAATGAGTTTCTACAACTGCCACCAAATCACTGTCATTAAGTCAGTGTAGCTGCCGTGGGTCCACAAGCCTAACTATGGTACGTGCCTTTAAAACACGCTTCCCACCACACTAAACTCAGCTATGTAGGCACATTTTCCCCAAAACGCTTGAAAGTTTTACTTCCACTAATTTCTGAGGGTTTGAATCCCTTGCTGCACACCTAGTAAAACTATTTTAGGGATCTGAGACCGTAATTGATTTTTTTGATCTGGGTCATAAGTATTTTTGAAAATCCCTCCACGTACAAACAATGGCTTTTAAAAAGAGGTCATGCAATCAAATTGCTTTGAACTCCAATAACATTTAAGCCTCTAAACTCTTTAGGCTTATTTAAAATCCATCCATGAAGTTTAGATTATTTTAACCTAAGAAGAATTGGAAGTAAACTATCGAAAACCACACCCCTCCTAGGCCTACAGTATTGAGCACATGCATTAGGAGGAGAAAGCAAAAGGAGCTATAAAGAAAAAAGAAAGTGACCTATAAAGTTTGATTATTTTTTTAAAAAGCAGAAAAATCAATACATTAACGATGGGAAACTAATTATTGATGAGAAATCAATACATTAACGATGAGAAACACTGATGAAGCCAAGGCTTACATGCAACAAAACATTTAGAGTTTAGAACGTTTAAGAGGAAAAAAAAACCCTCTTTATAAAGCATTCTATCAATGTAAGGGCCAAATTCATCCTAGCATTCTATCAATGTAAGGGCCAAATTCATCATAAGGAATAAATTTGTTACGCTGAGGGTGGTGAGAGCCTGGCCCAGGTTGCCCAGAGAAGCTGTGGCTGCCCCATCCCTGGAGGGGTTCAAGGCCAGGTTGGAGGGGGCTTGGAGCAACCTGGTCTGGTGGGAGGTGTCCCTGCCCAGGGCAGGGGGTGGGACTGGATGGTCTTTAAGTCCCTTCCAACCCAAACCATTCTGTGATTCCATGATCTCTGAGCAAACACGTCTCCTTCACCACCCCATCTGCGGCACCACACGGGTGCTCTTGGCCAACAGGCAGTGGGGCTCTGTGGGGCAGCCCCACGAACAGGGCACTGCAGCCCTGATGCACAGGAACCCCCAGGAGGTTTGGCGCAGGGATGCTGAGCACAAGTATTGCCCCCAAAGTCTTCAAAAATCATTTTTTTTTCCATTGATATAGCACAGGTTTGTAGAGCTCAGTTCAGAAAGGCAGTTGATGGGGAGACCTTCCTTTAGCCCACGGCAGCAGCTCTGCCGACCATGTTTCAACTGGCCACACCTGGAAAATGGCAGAGAAATGGTTTTTTTTCTTTACCAGAGCAGTTTGGCAAGACAAAACCTGGCCCCTCTGCTGCTGTGAATCGCATCACTGTGATTTCTGGAAGGGGCAAGGACCGGGCTGCTGCGTCCACGTTGTAGTTGGCGCTGATTTGGTGCCGTGGGGGATTTAATCAACTCCAAAGGAAATGCTGCCACCCAATCATTTATACAGTCTGAAGGAACAGAAACACCCGTGTGCTGTGAAGAACAGGGTATGAGACTCCTCCGCGCCGTGTTCGGGGTGGTCTTTGGGGTGCAGTGCTCAAAAGTTAAATTTCCAGCAATGATTTGGAAGGAAGGGGCAAGGACCGGGCTGCTGCGTCCACGTTGTAGTTGGCGCTGATTTGGTGCCGTGGGGGATTTAATCAACTCCAAAGGAAATGCTGCCACCCAATCATTTATACAGTGTGAAGGAACAGAAACACCCGTGTGCCATGAAGAGCAGGGTATGAGCCTCCTCCGCGCCGTGTTCGGGGTGGTCTTTGGGGTGCAGTGCTCAGAAGTTAAATTTCCAGTGATGATTTGGACCAACTCCGACCCTCAGCCCCTCGGTTCTCCCACCTCCACACTGGCACACCCAAGGTGAGCTCTCCAGGTTAGGGGGGGGGGGGAAAATCGCCCATTTTCTTAACTATTAAAAAAATACTTGTTCGTACATAACGGTTTCTGAGTTTTCTCTCCTCCCTCCCCTTTGCTCGGCCATACTGTCATCCTTCTCCCTGTGGTGCTATTCCAGTACGAAACGGGCTGATTCTAATTTAATTTAAGAATCAAAAAAAAAAAAGAAAAAAAGCACACATTTAATAAAGTTTACGGGTACTGAGAGGCTGTGCTCTCTTTTTGCTGGCGGCAGCAACCTGGAAAGAGGCGGGCAGGTTTATGAAAAAGGGGAAAAGGCAGAATT